TTAGAACTTTATTAATGTTACTAGTCATACTACCTGTATTCTGCTTGTTTTACAAGATTATTGTTTCTTGCATTACCAAATATATGACTGAGCCTCTGATAAAATTAATGATCAGGTGACTTGAAATGATTGACCAAATATATAGTTCTATAAGATCAGTGATTGTAATAGTGTAAATCTACATATGGAAACAAGCAACAAGAGGGAACCATTTCCTGGACCATAACAGACTAGGAAGACAGGCAATCCAGAGGATTCTGACTACTGTTAACAGGCTCTAGTCCAGTAATAGCACATTGAGTGGCCTATCAATGAAATCCTCACCTGACCTGGGAATGAGAATTCCTAGCACCGTGGGACAAACTGGTCATGAAATGCCTCCCAAACCTTGGTCAAAATTAAGACCAAAAGGGAGGGGATTGTAAAACAAAGAATGTTGCCCACCATCCAGTTTACAAGAATCAAGTCATTATCCACTGCAGTTGCTCACCTACAATACAGCCTGAAAGGAATTCAGGGCGAAAATCAGGCTGAGTCACTCTGTGCTCAGAGAAAACTGGCAGAATAGGCCTTCAGCTAGTTAGATATTTTCAGGAGAAAATTTATGAACCCAGGTTCTAGCATCTTCTCATAAAAGCACTAAAGCCATTAACTAAGATATCTGCTCCTTATGAACAACAGTAACCTTCCACCAAGTTGGGTGCTTGACTGCATGTACCCCCTTCTTTAAAATCACATGTATACTGGCCTCCCCCTTTACATCCTCGGAACAGTCCTCAGTGCTCTGTGAAAGACTGTCTCCCAGGTTACAATCCTTGGCTGGGCTTGAATAAAACTTTCCATTTCTTCCTCAGACTGACTACTGACTAATTTTTTGTCAACAGTATCTGTCCTGTGCAAACAGCCATATATTTTGCTGCTGTCTTTTAGGTGGATGGCCAGCATATAAGAGAAACATCTAACCAAGATTGCAGAAAGAAGCCAAATTGTGGAGACCTTATCTTAGTCCTATTAATTATTAGTCCTATTAATCCCCCCAGAGGAACTTTATCCATATAATCATAGTAAATGTCTATTTGCAAAAGAAAAACCAGAAAGAAATGCAGGTAGAAAACAGAAAGGAAAGTAATGAAAAAGAATTACAGTGATATTTGTATGCTTAAAGCCTCTGTAATACAATATACAAAAATGTATGGGTTCCAGGGGAGTCCTAATCACATAGGGCAGTATTTATCCATCATGTCTCATTTGCCCTCATTTCACAATGCTCTAAGATTAGAACCCCTGATGTGAAAGAAGATTTAATATTTAGAGCTAGTTCTTGCATGGCTCGGGGAAAGAAGGGGAAGAGAAAAGAGGAAAAGAATTATATGAAGACTACACTTCACTTCTCTTTATTATAATAGATTATTTTCTTTAAGAGAAGCATAAGCTATGATTAAAGTGGCAGTATAATTGTGGAATTTTTGTGCCTCTAACACCTGCAAAGGAGGCACGTTGACAAGAAACACTCGGCAACCCAATTATTTCATGCAGGTTTTCATCCACCCAGAAAGCCATCCTCAAAATAGAATGGAACTTTTCCTCCTTCACCAATCTGGTAGGTGCCTACAGCAAAGTAACCAAGAACCTGAATAGCATTGTTTATGATTACTCTCAGCAAACAAAATTTAAATTTAAAAGATCAAAAGAGTTTAACATATAACTTCCAAACTTTAATTATATCAATTATTTCATTGTGCATTCAGCTTATATTTCACCTTGTCTTGATGAGAGGCTGAAAAGGAACAAGATGTCCTCAGAGAGATAAGGGATATTGAACTCTGTTCCCAGAAGTAGGAAAACAGATTATATAAGTGGTCTTTCCAGTTTTGACGAACAGTTTAATTCAACTGTGACATAATGGTAAAATGAAACAAAGTCAAGATTCTGACTATCTAGGAATTTGGGGAAGTTGGAATGTATACCCTGAATAAGAAAATAAATAACTAAATAGCTAGGGAGAAGGAAACCCAGGGAAATTTTTTCTTTAAGAAGCTAAAAACTAAAATAATACTTTAAAAATAGCAGTTGCTATTTTCATTCAATTCTTTCATTTTTTTTTTGAAAATAACCTATTTTTTTAATTGAAGTCTAGTCAGTTTACAATGTTGTGTCAATTTCTGGTATATAGTGTATGTTTCAGTCATACCTATACATATATATATATTCCTTTTTATATTCTTTTTCATTATAGGTTACTAGAAGATGTTGAATATAGTTCCCTGTGCTATACAGAAGAAATTTGTTGTATATCTATTTTATTTTTATATATTGTTAACCAAAGACATTTAGAGATATACATAATAGGTTGAAATAATAAGATTCTTTTTTTTTTTTAACTTACTGGTATCATGGGAATAAGCATTTTCTAGGGGTTACTTTGGGAAATGCAATCCTTTCAATCACAAACAATTGTGCAGACAAAATAATCAATCTGAAATAGCTTACTAGGTTATAACATGTACAAAGCAGTTCACAAATCAGAACGCACTTCTGTTGTCTCCCAAATTGGCAAAAGATCAGCAAGGAAATGGAAAGCATGAGGAAAGTTTTCCAGGTGATGATCCTTGACCTGAATATTCAAGGATGGAAAGAACATGAATCATAGGAAAGGAGGATGGGGGCCTCACAGGTAGAATCAGCATAAACCAAAAGAATGGGAAGAGGTTATAAAAACTGACATTTGGGGAATCGCTGAGGCTAACAATTTGGGACAGATTAGTGAAAATTAAAGCTACCATTATTGAATGCTTACAACATGAGACTCTGCAAATATTTCCTTTTGTTTTTTTCTAATTTAATTTTAATAAAACTGAGCTCCAGGGCTCAGACTCAGATCTCTTTATTAGCCATACTCACTGCCCATATGACCTTCTGCAGTCTCATGGCTTTAAGGTCACTTGTACACTAATGACTCCCACATCTCCATCTTCAGCCTGAACATTTCCTCCAGTTCCAGACCCATGTGTCTAACTGCCTATTTGACATTTCCATTTGGATGTCCAAAGGGTATCTCAAACTTACGATGTTTAAAACAAAACTGATTTCTATCCACTGCCCCCTAAAACACAAACACTAAAGAACAATAACAAAAAAAGAAAAACTACTACTCCCTCATCTTCCTTTAAAATATATCCAGTATCGGACCACTTCTCACATCTCCACGTCTACCTTCCTGTCTAACCCATCACCATCTCCAGCAGGAATCACTACAACAGCCTCCTAAAGGAGGTGGGTGTGAACTTGCCCTCCAGTGGCCTCTAAGTATGCATTTCAACTGCTTCCTTTTGTAGGACAGGCTTTAGTTATCAATTCTGTTGTTAAGTGGAGACTAAGATTTAAGAGTGATTCTTGAACAGGTGAAACAGAAACAGCAGAAGCTGAGAGCAGATATGAAAGGACAAGTGTGCAAGGTGGGGTTGAGTGTGTCAAGCATGGAACATTTGAGGACATCCAGAGGGACAAAAGAACCTGAAATCCTAAGCAATATCAAGTCCTAGGTCAAATGTCCCCTCCACATTAGCCTTTCTCAACTCCCCAGACAGAGATCAAGACCTTAATCACAGTATTGGTCACATTACTGGCTGGCTGTGCTGAGTGCCTCCCCAACTAGACTTTGAGCTCATTTAGTGCCCCCAGCACCTGATGTAGTATTGGGGACCCAGCACCTGATGCAGTATTGGGGACCTGGTAAGCCCTTCGCAAAAGTGTGCTGAAAAGTCCTTGGCAAAACGTGGTATCATGGAATGTGCATTAGGAACATGGAGAAGGAAGCTCCTGCATTCCTTTAGAGGAGCAAATTAAGATTTTACATAGGAAATGAGGTTATACATATACGTGTGTGTGTGTATTTGTCCAGGAAAATAACACTGATGTCCTCGACAGGGACAGCAGAGGAGGAAAGCCAGAGGGGCAAGGCTTGAAAAGGAAGTGAGAGAAAGGAAAACAATGGAAGAAATTGGTGGGTGTGATATTGAAAAGTACATTAGAAGCTAAAGAAAGCAGCAGAGTCCAAGGAACAGTTTTTCTCTCTCCCCAACAGGCCAAGCAGTGGGGAAGATGGAGGGTGGATGTTTAAAAGAAAAGAGGAAACGCCAGGCAACAGAAAGAAGTTGACCCAGAGGATGTGATTAGGGTTGATGGGTATAAACACCAGGCAAGCTCATACCTGCAGTTCTTAATCTTCTCACTCTCAAGTATCAAGTAAATGACTGAGCTCCAAGAGGAGGATAGAAAGCCAGAGGCTTAACAGAGGGTAAAAGTGAACTACTCAATGAGGTGTGAGCCAGTAAGCTAATGAGGGAGGAAGGCCAACACTGCTGGGGTTGTAAGACAAACCCGGGATATTACTTCAGTCCTCTAGGTTCCGATTAACTTCTCATTAAGTGGTGCTGGGGGCTCGACTTCTCACCTCGCGCAGGCCACCCTGCCAACGCCTTTAGCAGATTCCAAGGGGAATTTGGCTGAGTGGATCTTCATCGCCACTATGAAGACAGAGTGGAAAAACAATGTACAGTGGATAACCACCCAGCTTCGCCCAGGGCTCGAGGAGAAAAGTCGGAGGAGCACAAAATATAAACAAAACCACAATTCCCTTCTTGTCCTCGCCTTGCGCGGCGCTCATGCTCTCCCCTCACTAAAATGTAAGTTCTGTGAGAGCTGGGCTTGGTCCTCCCCTGCTAGGTGCCCGCATAACAGGGGACCTGGCACACAGTGGACGCTCAGCAAATACTGGTTGAATATTAAACGAACTCTGCTCAGTCCCACTTCATTGTACCCGGGCATTGAAGGATGACACCAGTGGAGCTGCCTAAGAGACAGCAGGGGTAAGAGGAAGCGGAAGAATATTCTGAGGGTCCCAATGGGGCAGCCTGAGAGCCCAGAGCAGAGGGCTCTGTAGCGCTGGACCGGAGGAAGATTCGAGTCTAAGGCCCAACACTGTATCTTGTGCAACTGACCTTCCGGCGGAGACGCCCGCGCGGGGCGCAGCAGCCCGACTCCGGCGTCCCGCGCCCGCCGACCCCCGGCGGCGCTCGGCGCCCGCTGCGCACATAGGTCACCTGCCTTCTTCTGGCGCCGCGCAGTGGGCCGGGCGCGGGTAGCAGGTGCGGCCCTGTCGGCCGGGGGGCCGGGTCTGGTCGCGCGCTGCGGGCCGGGGGCCGGGGCCCGGTGCGCCGCAGCTCCACGCAGAGTCGCAGGCCGAGCAACAGCGCGGCGCCGAGCAGACACCGGCGCAGGGCGCTGCGCCCCCTCCCGGGCGGCCTCTCCCAGGCCATGGTGGGCCCGTCTGGGGCTGGGCTCTGCCACCCGCGCGCGCCGGCCCGCAGCGGGGATGTGGCCCTGTGGGCCCGAGCTGCCACTGTGGGAACTCCCCCGCGGGCCGGGGCGCGGACTCGGGCCCGCCTCCCTTCCCCTGTCCTAGGAAGCCTCGGCGTAACCTTGTCCTGCCCGGCGGAGCTCGCTCGGCCGGCCCGGTCGAGGGGCGGCCGGCAGGTGGGGTCTTGGGGTCGCAGGCAGCTCGGCTGAGCCAGACCAGGGGCCCAGCCCCACTTCGGGGATCCCGGAGGAGGTGCCCTCCAGCCCGGCTTCCGGAGCCTGAAAGCTACATGGCCAGAAAAAGCACATTTCTAACGGGATCCTGGGCTGTAACTTCATTTTCTAGTATTAGTGTTGTTGAAGCGAGGAAGATAGGTTAGCTGCCAGGTTTTGCTACAAGGAACAAATTCTGATTGTCAAGCAGTTTGTTACATTAAACACATTATAAAAATATATCGCACTATGCTCAGGTTTACAACTTCTCTCCCTCAAGAAAGAAGGGGGAAGGGGAGGAGAGAATAGCGCTGGATGCAGAATAATCAAATTAGAGTTATTCCATTTCTAAATTCTGCCTGAAGCCAACCCGTGCTTTCCCCCCCGTGTTTTGAAATGTGTGGGGGTGAAGGAGGAGGGGGAGAAAGCCAGCTAAGACATCTGACAGCAGGGAGACAGAACAGAAGTTACCATGGCATGATGTAAATCAAATTAATTTAGCTCCAAACACACACCTCCCTGCTGTCTTGCAGAGATACAGAGGGACAAATTTATCTTTCGGCAAAATGCACCCCAGCTGGTATTTCCATCACCACCTTGACCTTAATTAATCAGAATGAACGTTCACAGCCTGAAGTCCTGTGTTGGCTATTCCGTTTTCAGTTGTTAGTAGAATTCTTTCTCACAACCCGTTTAAGGTTTGGGTTTGGGTTTATTTTCTTTCGCTGTGGCCACATTTTTTTCATACTCTAAGCTTGCATTTTCCATACTTTTACGTGAGCCTACCCCCGCTGACGTATCCTGTCCCCTTGACAGCCTACAGCACGGACAACAGAGAACAAATATGGAAGCCCCGCCCCCACCCCGTATGAATTTCGGGAATTTTCCATAAGGAGCCCTCCTTTCTAAAATCTCCCTGGCTTAAGAAAGACCCGATTTAGTCTTTGTCACTGCACAAAGCACTTGGGCTATTTCTCTACATGTAACAAAACTTCTCAACCTGATCTAGTCCATTCCCTGGGCACACCCGGTCCTCAGGCTCCTGAGTGTTTCATCATGATTGACTTTTGTTTTTTTCTTAGACGTAGCCCTCTGGCTATTGCAGATGGGCTCTGTTTAAAAGAATCCAAGCAAGTACATTTTTCCTGACAAACTCTCAGAGAAAACCTCACATCCTATGACTATTTAAACAACATGAACTGTGATGTCAGACTTGAACTGTGTGCTGAATCAGGAAGCTACGAAGCTTTGGACAAGTACTTCATCTTTCAAAGACTCAATTTTCTCATGTGTAAATAGACCTATATATCTGATAGGATTACAAAGATAGCATAAAATATTGTATGTTCAGTACTACCTGGTTCACAGAAGTTACTCAATTAATAGTAATTGTTTTTATTATTTACCATTAAAGAAAATCATGGATCTTATGAAAAACAAAATTTAAGCATTGATTCCAAGGTAGGTAAACATAAGAAAGTATAAAGAGATTTATGTAAGTGTATTTATCTTATACAGTAGTCTCTGGATTAGGAGTACCCAACAGTTGCAGGAAACCACAAAGACTCAAGATCCCACAAATGCACCCTATTAAGTTACATAATTGTGTGAAGCTATTTAAGACATGATTTGTGGCGTTCTCAGTAAACCTGGATCACCAATGTCTGGTGTAGACTTTGCTAGAAGTTTTAATTTCTATGCTACCAACACAGTGAAAGAAGTATCTTTTGAAGATTATGATATCACTAACTTAAACCCTCTGCTCATCCTTTGAGTCACTCTCTGGGAGGAAAAATGAGGAGTATCCTGTATTATTAAAATGGGGTATTAGTGAGACTCTGGACTGAGGAGGGGAGGGTGGGACATAGAACAGTGTAGCTCTTGAAGAGAACGGGCAAGATGACCTCATATTTTCCATTACTTCATTTCTATCATTCTCTAATAATATTTCCATTATGGGGGAAAATTCAAATAAAATATAATATTTAAATGCCTCTTTCTCTTATCTTTTGCACTGTCTCTATGTGTTTATTACTAATAAAAAGGAAATGTTTATATGTATGTAACATCATTAATTTTCTAGGAAGGAATCTGCCATTTTTAACTTCCACACAGTATTTCTATGTGTTGTGGATGGTAATGAATCAGGAAATGGATCAGTCAGTCAGCGGAGAGGCAAATCTAACTGATGCCTGTTGTAGCTGACAAGCAATCTTTCATTCACAAACTTTGTTTTTCTTATAGAGTTGAACTTGTCTCTGTCATTTCTGGATATGTTTCCGAAACACAGATAATTATTAACTACGAGTTGTAGGTTCGTTAATTAAATGTGCAGGTCAGTAAACCACAAAAGCAGCTTTCATTAGATCACAAATTACATCCTCCTTGAGGTTTCAGCCAGCAAAATTAGTGTAACAGAACATTTTTACTACTAATCTCCTAGACACCAAACATTTCAATTTGCACACATGCTGTAGTGCAGTGGTTCTCACCAGAGGTAATTTTGCCTCCCAGGGGACAATTGGCAACTTCTGAAGACATTTTTGGTTGTTACAACAGGTAAGGGTTGGGGAGGATGCTACTGGTATCCAATGGATAGAGATCAGAAATACTGCAAAAACTTCCTCCAATGCAAAGGATAGCTTTCCACAAGAGAGAATTTTCCAGCCCAAAATGTCAACAGAGCTAAAGTTGAGAAACCCTATTGTAGCCATGGATGTTAATGTAGCAACTTTTAATTATAGAAACCAACAGACAAGGATCCTCACCTCCACTAGTGGTTATTTCTGTTTCACATTGTGAAGTACCCAACCTGAATTAAAGTAATCAAATTTTGAAAGAAATGGAGCTGGGATGTCTGGCATCTGCATCTTCCCCCACGCCCACCATCTTTTCTCCATGTAATACCTATTCATTGTGGAAAATACACACAAGCAAAAGAAGATATCAACAATCATTCATAATATCACAACTCAGATATAGCTATCCTGTCAGATTTTGTCTTGTTCATATGTATATATACATATATATACACACACACAGAGTTTTCAAAAGTGAAATCATATGTATCTCTTTATAATCTGCTTTTGTAACATAATGTTATATAATTTACATGTATACAATAATAAAATATTATTATTTAATATTAATATTTAAATTATACTTAAATATATAATTTATCATGTTAAATAATATAATGTCTGGGATTTGCTTAAAAACAATCCAGTGAGGAGGTGGGAGTTAAGTGGGAGTATAAATGAAACAAGAATTGATAATTGTTGACAATTGTTATTGCTGGCTGATGGGGGTTCACAACTCTCATTACTGAGTATCTTTGGAAGTGTTCCACAATACAAATGTCACTAAACATTAACCTGTCAACCTACATCATTTTTAATGGCTACATTTACCATAATTTAACCAATCTTTCACTGTTGAACAATTAGATCATTTCAAGTTTTTATTTTATAAATAATGCTGCGATGGACATCTTTGTAGCTAAATCTGATAGGTCAGAGGTAGACTGTGAGAAAAATAAAGAAGCCAAGGATAATTCCAAGGCTTTTCTTGAGTAATTGGAAGAATGATATTGCCATTAACTGAGAAGGGTAAGACTCAACTAAGAGTAGTCTGGGTGAAAAATCAAGAGTTTGATGTTGGTGGTCATGTTAAGTTTGGGAAGCCATACAAGAGGAGATGTCAAGTGGGCAGTTGGATTTAAAAGACTAGAATTCAGGGGAATAGTGAAGGCTGGAAATATAAATGTGGATCATCAACATACTGATGTTGAGCGAGGGAGGGAAGAAATATTTGAAGGCTTAGCTCTAGAGTCCACCAATTTAAGGTAAGGAAGATGGGGAGGATCCAACAAAGGATTAAGAGATAGACAGGCAGTAAAGTAAGAGAATACGTACCATCCTAGAAACCAAGTGAAGAAAGTATTTCTAGAAGGAAAAGACTGAGAGGGCTAATAAAATGTGGGCTGAAAACTGCCCATGAGATCTGTTAACAACATGTCTTGTTTATTATCTGTCTCTCCCAACTAGAATGTAAATTTCATGAGGTCAGGGACTTCGTCTGCTTTGACTATTGCTATAATCTCAGTTCCTTGAACTGTCCCTGGCACGTAGTATGTGCTCAATAAATAACTGTTGAATTAAAGAGTGAAAAATAAATCAAATCTGTGTATATTTATAATTATTTCATCATATTAAATTCTTAAGAGTAGAATTGTTAAGTTAAAGCAAAATTGAAAGTCTTTTGATGTGAAGGGATATTATTAATTTTTCAGTCCATCAAAAAAGACTGTATTAATCCCATTTAAAGCCCATCAAATGTTCCTTTGTTATCAGGGGGAAACCTCAAAGGATAGCTTGAGCCAGCCTCTGAGATGAACTATTAAGTTTATTTTAGTTCCCTCCTACTTCTATCACTGCACTTGAAACCACACTTGATTTCCCCTTAAATGCCCATCTCAAGTTGCATCTTAGATGGGATTGTATTCACTGGACTGTCAATAAGTTTCCTCCTCCCCGCCTTAAGGATGTAGCTAAATATTAAGATACTAGTTCAACACAAATTAAGACCCCATCAGAATTATCCACATTAAGGGAAGAACTCATCAAGATTAAAGCTTTCATGACCTAGAAGAACTGATATCTGGGGCTGGGAGTCCTGCCTAAAATCACATCACTGCCTAGTCTATCACCTAATAAAGCCTGCTCTGGGCTAATCTTATGGAAAATGCCTGGAGACTGTCTTGGTGCCCTGGCCTGCTTGGGAAAGAAAATGAGTCTCCTGCCTCTTTTGAATCCCTTAATGCTGCGTTCTCTCATTCTTGGTGTTTGTCTTACTCAAGCATTTGTGGACTTGCTTTATCCTT